ATTGCTTGGGGAAAGCATGATTATGATGTGTTTGTTCCAGCCAATGAGGACTGAATGCTGTGATGATTCTGTTGAATAGTCTAGTCAGCTCCTTATAAAGCTGTATGGCTTAGAAATGCTGGTTCAACTGCACATTGCCAACATGCAGCCAAATGCAGACACCCTCATGTGGTAATTAACTCTAAATACAAGCACTAAACACACAAAACCTTCTGCTTTTGTGATTCAGTGTGAGTTGCTCAGTATTGCAATAATCATGTGCATTTGTTTTTTTAAACCAATGATTTATATAATTTGACTCCTCGGTGGTTCCTTATTCAGCTTTGACTTGTGACTACACTCTGTTTTGGTAAATTCGACCGGGGTTTGTCCAACGTTCATGAACATTTACCTATCTGCAAATATTTCTGGTAGATTTTTGGTTAAGCCTGGAAAGGGAGAGCATTGAAAAAGGGTGAAGGAGAGGATAGCAAGTGCAAGAGAAAAGGAGGTTTGTCATTATTTTGGTCAGTGTTACTATTAGATAAAGATTAAATCAAAATGTTAAAGTAAATGTGAAACCATTCCTGGTTTTGAATGTTCCCCCAATTTCAAAACATAATGCAACCCCCTAGGCTGCCATCAGAACTCTCTGGGCCCCTTGCACACACACTAGCAAAAACACATATAGGTGCACACACACTCATATACAGAGATACACAGCTCTCATACACATGACTGCTGATCCAAAACCCACCTCCCGTTGCCCTACATAAATAATAACACCACACAATAGTTATGGGTAAGGGCAACGGCCACAGCTTTATTGGTTCATAGACCAGCTTTCCATCCAACTGCCAGCTGTTGAGAGACTTCTCCCAACAGGCAGATACCACTTCTTTGTCCATGAGTTCATATCAGCCTGCCTACCACCATCAGCCCTCGGCAGGCTGCGACTCCCCAAGTTGACTCATCAATTTCTTTCAATTACCAATGTGCTGGCCTGGAACACCGCCACCGCGATGTCGACCCTGTCCAGCCCCCCGTTGCCAGCGCCAACACAACTCCAGACTGTAGTCCCAAATTAAAAATATCAAGCCCAATGCTAGTTAGGTGGACACCATCCCTCTGCATCAAGTTTCTGTTAACCCCTTCCAGCTCCACGTAGCGAACCACTATGCCCACGAGACTTCGAACAAACCTGGCAACCGTCATGTTCAATTTTCACCGAGCTCGCTCAATCGCACGGGCGTGTGGCAATGCCGCCAACAGGGGCGCGGAACCATTTCGGACCAAATAAGCGTGAGGTCTCGGAAGAGTGCTATGCATCGGGCCAAATCCTGTTTCATCATGTAGAGGAGATCCACCATCATTGCCTCCCGCGTGAACCACTAATGTAACAGGCCCAGAAACAAACCTACGTAACTGAACACATTCTGTGAAAAACTGGCCCCTGGAGAGACCACGAATACCTCGCCACCAAACCCTGGCCATTTCAAAGGGAAAGCCTAAGTTCCTCTCATAGAACCTTTCCTCAGCTCTGCGTGCTTCACAATAAATATATGAGTGACCCAGAATCCAGACAGAATGAGGGGAACCTACGAGAAAGAAAAATTACAAAAGATGCGGTTGCATATATAACTTGAAGCGACCCGACTCCCACCTGCCCAACCGCTTAATCGAGGCCTCCAAAAATCCTAACATGCCTGTCTGATTAGCGGCCCCAATCCGAAAGGAGTGGGCAGAGTATCCTCAACCGTCCACACCGACCACCAATAAAAACGCCTTAATCCTAGCGGAGAACTAATATCGAGTTAACGGGGCATGAACCGCCCGGACAAACTGCTAAGTACGATTCCAACAATCGCCCTGGGCAGAAGGGGCAACTAGCGGCACCAATTCGAACCCAGGCACCTCGACCAGAATGGTCGGTTTCTGACCAACGAACCCGCAGATCCAGAGCCGATGCCAACAGATACACGTCCGACAACAACATAGGAGATAACGACCGTAAGTTAGGAGCCAACAGCTCCCCCACCCTGAATACCCCCAAAAAACATAAGGAAAGCTACCCGAAAAAGCAACACCTCAAAGCCAGAAGCACATACCTTCAGGAGGTCCTTCAACAAAAGCTCCAGTAGGTCCGCTGATATCGGCCTCCGATGATCCTTACCCTTTTGAAGTCTCCAACCCTTCAACACTCGCTGAATAAGGAATTATTTGGAAAGATCCCTCCAACCCAGAAACTGAAAGCAAAAGGACAAGGCAAAAATATCACGCACTGCCACCGCACTGGACTTACCTTGAGACTCCAATGAGGCCAGGAGAAGCAGAGTGGCCTCGAACCGGCCCTCCTCCGATAAAACCCATTTAGTCCTGTCAGCCAAGGACAGTCAGCGAGACCATACCACCTGATAGGCCCGCCATGACCCATGGGATAGCGAATCCGTCAACAACCGTCTCAGGCCTCCAAAGCCAGGTCCCACTGGAACCGAGAAAGAGAGTCAGCCACCACATTACATACCCCAGGAACATGACACCCATACATTAGAGTGTAAGCTCAACAGAACTAAGCGCCGGAGCAGGGCCAACACCGGAGGGGAGGCAGAAGTAGCCTGCGTAATAACGTGAACCACGCTCATGTTGTCAGTATGAAAAATGACAACATGACCTTGCAAATCTACACCTCAGAGTTCCAATGACACCACAATCGGAAAGAGTTCCTATAAGGTGACATTGCGCATGATATCCCTACCTTTCCAGCCCATAGGCCATGACTCCGCACACCACTGACCACGAAAGAAAGCCCCAAATCCCATGGAGCCGGAAGCATCCGTAAATAGATCCAACGATGCATTGGGTGCAGCCTCACGGAGCCAACATGAGTGGCCAGTGTAGGTGCCCAGAAAGGAACTCCAGACCCGTAAATCCTCCCGCATGCGGTTGTTTACCCTGATGAAATGATGCGGTTCCTGAATACCAACCGTGGCCAATGACAGTCGACGACAGAATGCCCGACCCATGGGCAGAACCCAACACACAAAGGTCAGGTGACCCAAAAGGACCTGCATCTGAGGCAATTGAACCTTCCTAGCTCCTTTGACCCGGTCCACTAATTCCAGAAGAACCGTGAGCTTATCCTCCGGCAACCGAAAAATCATATTAACCGTATCGATTTCAATACCGAGGAACGATAGCACAGTCACAGGGCCCACTGTCTTATTTTCGCGACCGGAACCCCAAACCCCTTAGCTATAGCCCGAAAGGAAGCCAGCAAGTTGACACATACTTGGGACCCTGCAGGGCCCACAAACAGGAAGTCATCCAAGTAGTGCGTAACTGAGTTCCAACCTGATTGCTAAACAGTAACCCATTCGAGAAAGGATGAAACATCTCGAACTAGGAGCAAGAAATCGCGCACCCCATAGGCAGGCACATGTCGTAATAATAACTACCACGAAAGTGGCAACCCAGGAGGTGGAAGCACTCGGGGTGTACTAGTAACAACCGAAAAGCAGACTCAATGTCTGACTTGGCTAACAGGGCACCCACTCCAGCTGCCCGCACACGTTCCAATGCCCTATCAAAGGACGCGTATCGAACTTGACACACCTCCTTTCCGATGTCATCGTTCATCGATCCTCCAGCCGGGTAGGATAGGTGATGAATCAATCAGAAGGAGCCGGGTTCATTTTTAGGGACTAAACCCAGCGGCGACATGGGGAGATTGTGAAAAGGAGGGTGACAAAGGGGCCGGCCATCCGCCCCAGTCTAATCTCCCTATCCAATTTGTCCTGTAACCTATCCTCCATCCCGCGGACTGATTTTAAGCTCTCCGCAAAACTAAAGGACTCAGACAAGACAAATGGAATCCAAAACCCCTTTAAAAATCTCCCTAACAGAACCACTGCGGCACATCTATTGGGATACCGGTCGAGCCACCACCGCATCCTTGTGACACTCACTGGAGTCCTCACTTCTAGGTACGTCGTTCCTGCCGGCTCCCTTCCCCATGGCCTGTCTCCACTTTTTAAAGCAGTGCATAGCGGGGTGCACTCCTCCACAATGAGAGCATTCATGTTGGAAACGACAGGAACTGAACCATTTACACTGGCTTTCATTGAACAGCCAGCAGACTCCTCTCTTGTGGCCCGCCGGCGCGCCACTGTGCACGCCGGAAGGCCCAGGAAAGGGAGATGGCCTACACGGCGTCATCAGAAGTAGCCATAGAGAGCTAGCCTTCTCTGGAAAATGATGGACTAGGATACTTGCATAAATATTAAACCCCTGAAGCCACTTACCGAACGTGCAAGGAATCTGCTTAGACTTGTCGCCCTCATGAGGCTCCCCCTTACGGGGCCTGTCAACAGATTCCCTGTCAGGGGGAACCAATGACAAGAAGTCAACATACTCACCATTATATATCCTTTCCTGCGTCTCTGCGGGAATATGGACTCCCAGGCAGACACGGTCTAAACCCCCCTTGTACCCCACTGGTTACCTGTGCTCTATTGCTCTGCGCCTGCGACCCCCCAGGCAACTTCTCTAATACTGCACACAGTAAACTCAAGAGCCCTCCCTAGAGCTACCCTGATCCCCAGGCAACTCACCCCAGACGCTAGCGCAAGTCAACTCACCCCTGGAGAGTGGTACAGGCGGCTCCTGCACTGTAGGTATGACCGCTTCTTCCTCTTCCTCTGTCCAAGAGTCTGAATCTGACTCTCCCCCAGCAGCACTGATTCTCCTTGCACTCCTGCTGGCTTCCAGCAGAGTTGAGGATCTTCTAGCTTCTCTCCCTGGGTGTCTGGCACTCCTGCTTGCTTCTGGCAGAGTTGCAGGGTTTCTGATATCTCTTCCACGATGTCTGGCACTCCTGCCGGCTTCCGGCAGAGTTGCTGGGCTCCTGAGGATTGATCTGGGGTCTCCGACCTGCCAGAGAGGAAGAGGAGGCGGGGCCTGTGACGTGGCAGCATCCGGCAGTGCCCGCATCACGTACGCGCCCCCCGGTGATGCGTCCGATGTCATTCTTCTGCGGTTCTTCTTACAGGACTGGGGGATAAACGTGTTGGAGGCCTTGTCGTCCTGGCCCTCCGACCGTCTGCAGGGGGGTCTTCCGCTGTTCTCTCCAAAACAGCTGCACATTCAGCCGTCCTCTCCAGCACAGCAGCACCTGAACTTCCAGCAATGCCGGCCATAACTTCATCAAGGGCGTCTGAGCCATGAGACTCCAGGTAAGTCCGCACCATGCCAACCTGTGCCTCCTGGGACACCGTTGTTGTAGTAGATGACATCTTGAATTATAGAAACTACCGATAAACCTAACACTAGATCCAAATTGCTAGGCCCTAATCTCCTGTAAAATTAGCATGATCTCACTCATAACTTTACTGAGAAACTGATATCGCCTTTCCTTTGAACTGCTTTATATTTCATTTTGCAACAAAGTATACAACATAGCCACCCTCTTACTGCTGGCCTGCAGTCATGCCCTCCCTTCCTTTTCTGTCCAGGGAGATACTGATAAGCACAGCAACACATATAGACTCATAAATGCACAGACGTATACACAAAGCTGATCTTAATTTGAGGAAGTACACCACAGTGTGCCTGTATGTGTGTGTGTGTGTCTGTATGTGTGTGTGTGTGTTTGCATGTGTGTCTGTATGTGTATCTATTTGTCTGCATGTAGGTCTGTATGTGTATATCTTTGTCTGTATGTTCATCTCTTTGTCTGTATGGGTATCTGTATGTCTGTATGTGTATCTGTTTGCATGTGTGTCAGTGTGTGCCCCTATGTATCTGTATGTGTGTCACTGTTTATATCTGTATGCATGTCATTCTGTGTATTTGAATGTTTGTCTTTAATTGTGTCTATGTATCTGCATGTGTGTCTATATGTGTATCTGTCTGTATGCGTTTGTGTATCCGCATGTGTGTATGTGTGTTCTGTGTGTCTGTATGTGTATTTGTTTGTCGGCATATATGTTTGTGTGTGTATCTGCATAAGTGTCTGTATATGTATCTGCATGTGTATCTATATGTCTCTATGTGTATCTGTGTCTGCATGTGTGTTTCTGTATGTGTTTCTGTTTGTCCTGGGTCTGTATGCAGGGCCAGACTGGGAATTCAAAGCATCCCTGTAAAAAAAATTTTTACCAGCCCCATAATGCATCAAGCCAGCATAGTGTACAGATACAGAGTTAGAAAAGAGAACTTAAAATTAAAAATTATTACTCCAACGTAAGAAAGGCTTTAAAATAAACAAAAGTGCAGATTTATTTTAAGCAGACGTGCCTTTGCATGTAATCAATGTTTCAGTACAACTACCATGACATATTAAGGAAAGCTTGGCAATGGGACTGAAATGGTGAATGTATGTAGGGCACAACTGTAAAAAAATTACGTTATCTTGTTTATTTTGAAGTCCTGTCGGTGCGCTCTTCATAGTTACATAGCTGAAAAGAGACTTGCGTCCATCAGGTTCAGCCTACCTCACATTTGTTTTTTGCTGTTGATCCAAAAGAAGGCAAAAAAAAAACAGTTTGAAGCACAATTTTGCAACAAGCTAGGAAAAAAATTCCTGCTTGACCCCAGAATGGCAGTCAGATTTATCCTTGGATCAAGCAGTTATTACCCTACATTGAAAGATTATATCCTTGAATATTCTGTTTTTGCAAGTATGCATCTAGTAGCCGTTTGAACATCTGGATGGACTCTGATAAAACCACTTCTTCAGGCAGAGAATTCTGATTGTTCTTACAGTAAAAAAACCTTTCCTTTGCCTTAGACGAAATCTTCTTTCTTCCAGTCTAAACGCATGGCCTTGTGTCCTATGTAAAGTCCAGTTTGTGAATAGATTTCCACACAATGGTTTGTATTGGCCCCGAATATATTTGTATAATGTTATCATATCCCCTCTCAGGCGAAGTTTTTCTAAACTAAATAGGTTTAAATTTGTTAGCCTTTCTTCATAGCCGATATGTTCCATTCCTTTTATTAATTTTGTAGCCCGCCTCTGCACTTTTTCTAGTGCCATAATATCCTTCTTTAGAACAGGTGCCCAAAATTGCACAGGATATTCAATATGGGGTCTTACCAGTGATTTATAAAGAGGCAAAATTATATTCTTGTCCCAAGAATGAATGCCCTTTTTCATGCATGACAATACCTTACTGGCCTTGGCAACTGCTGATTGACATTGCACATTGTTGCATAGTTTGTTGTCTATAACAATTCCAAAGTCCTTTTCGTGTGTTGTTATCCCTAATTCGCTTCCATTAAGGGTATACGTTGCATGTGTATTCTTTATGCTGAAGTGCATCACTTTGCATTTTTCAACATTAAATTTCATTCACCATTTGAGTGCCCAGTCCCCCAGTCTATCTAAATCCCTCTGCAGCAAGTAATATCTTGCTCACCTTGTATTGTTTTACAAAGTTTTGTGTCATCTGCAAACACTGAAACATGACTTTCAATGCGGTCTTCAAGATCATTTATAAACATGTTAAATAGAAGGGGTCCCAGAACAGACCCCTGAGGGACACCACTTGCCACCTCATCTAGACCGATTTCCTTGAGTTTGAACACTAATCTATTGTGTGGAACTGTATCAAATGCCTTGGCAAAATCCAAATAGATCACATCCACAGCAACACCCTGATCTATACTTCTACTTACTTCTTCGTAGAACGCAATCAAGTTAGTTTGACATGACTTGTGCTTCATAAAACCGTGCTCATTTTTGCTGATAACCATGTTCTTCTCAAGGAATTCTTGAATATTATCCCTTAATAACCTTTCAAATATTTTATTGTGCTGGAGTATGCACCTAGCAACAAGACTGGGCCAATATCTGCTCATTACATATGGTACATACTAATGACATTTCTCTGTGTATTATGCAGATATAAATGTACATTAATATATGTGTAAATATAATAGGCATAATTGTATATATATATATATATATATATATAATACACACATTAATATACATGTCATATAACAGTGGTGAATCCCAGGAGGGGCAATTGTAGATTATTTAAAGAAAAAATCCATGCACAATAACCACTACTGCTCTGTGTAGTGGTTATGGTGCAAGGAGTGCCGGTACCCCCTCCCAGAGTAAGTAGTCAAACTGTTTAAGAACAGTTTGACAACTTACCTGTGGTCTGCTGGGATATGTGGCTGTAGTAGGGTATAGGAGCAGTGGTGATGGAATACACCCAAAGCTATTAAAAGAGCTTAGTGGTGTACTAGCAAAACCATTAACAGATTTATTTAACCAATCATTGTTAACAGGAGTAGTCCCAGAAGATTGGAAGTTAGCGAATGCTGTGCCCATTTACAAGAAAGGTAATAGGGAGGAGTCGGGCAACTATAGGCCAGTAAGCCTTACTTCAGTAGTGGGGAAAGTGATGGAAACCATGTTAAAGGATGGGATTGATGAACATCTAAAAACACATGGATTTCAAGATCAGAGACAACATGGGTTTACTTCAGGGAGATCATGCCAAACTAATCTTATTGATTTTTTTGATTGGGTAACTAAAATTATAGATCAGGGTGGTGCTGTAGACATTGCTTACCTAGATTTCAGTAAAGCTTTTGACACTGTTGCACATAGAAGGCTTATCAATAAACTGCAATCTTTAAGTTTGGATTCAAATATTGTTCAATGGGTAAGGCAGTGGCTGAGTGACATGCAACAGAGGGTTGTAGTTAATGGAATATATTCGAAGCTTGGACTTGTCACCAGTGGGGTACCTCAGGGCAGGGCCGGACTGGGGATACAAAGCAGCCCTGGAGAAAAAAATCTATGCCAGCCCCATAAGTCACTGCGCCACGTATTGTCACATGTAATACGTACGGCTATGTGTTGCCACCTAGATGATTGCGTAATATATAAAAACATATATATATATATATATATATATATATATATGTAATTTATTATGTGTTTATATATTACTCATTTATCAGATCAGTGGTTCCAAATTAATTTTTCCCGTGGAACACTGACATAGTGTATCAACATTTCTGCAGGAGGATCTTCAGTGCTGCTGGCTGAGGTTGGTGTGCTGCTCAGTCCTCGCTGCTCCCTCTCCCCCTGCAGGCGGCGCGCTCTGTCTGGGAGGAAGTGCTGTCCCTTCCTCCCAGCATCCAATATTACAGGGGTCCGGTAGCGGTTTTAGATGACCACGGCGACTGACCCGACCCGTTTAGCGATACCCAGATGGCCCTAAACGTGACATGCAAATCGCTGTGGAAGCCCAATTTTGTTCTCGCGGAACCCTAGGGTAATTGGGAAACGCTGCATTAGATGATTGAGTAATATATATATATATATATATATATATATATATATAAACACATTATATATATATATATATATATATATACATATATATATATATACACACACAGTTGGAAGAAAAAGTATGTGAACCCTTTGGAATGATATGGATTTCTGCACAAATTGGTCATAAAATGTGATCTGATCATCATCTAAGTCACAACAATAGATAATCACAGTCTGCTTAAACTAATAACACACAAATAATGAAATGTTGCCATGTTTTTATTGAACACACCATGTAAACATTCACAGTGCAGGTGGAAAAAGTATGTGAACCCCTGGACTAATGACATCTCCAAGAGCTAATTGGAGTGAGATGTCAGCCAACTGGAGTCCAATCAATGAGATGAGATTGGAGGTGTTGGTTACAGCTGCCCTGCCCTATAAAAAACACACACCAGTTCCGGGTTTGCTTTTCACAAGAAGCATTGCCTGATGTGAATGATGCCTTGCACAAAGGAGCTCTCAGAAGACCTACGATTAAGAATTGTTTACTTGCATAAAGCTGGAAAGGGTTATAAAGTATCTCCAAAAGCCTTGCTGTTCATCAGTCCACGGTAAGACAAATTGTCTATAAATGGAGAAAGTTCAGCACTGCTGCTCCTCTCCCTAGGAGTGGCCGTCCTGTAAAGATGACTGCAAGAGCACAGCGCAGACTGCTCAATGAGGTGAAAAAGAATCCTAGAGTGTCAGCTAAAGACTTACAAAAGTCACTGGCAAATGCTAACATTCCTGTTAGCGAATCTACAATATGTAAAACACTAAACAAGAATGGATTTCATGGGAGGATACCACAGAGGAAGCCACTGCTGTCCAAACAAACATTGCTGCACGTTTACAGTTTGCACAAGAGCACCTGGATGTTCCACAGCAGTACTGGCAAAATATTCTGTGGACAGATGAAACCAAAGTTGAGTTGTTTGGAAGAAACAC